AAAAAAAAAAAAAATTTTTTTTTTTTTTATTTAAAAAAAAATCTGATCTGAATCTGTTCAGATCGGATCAGATTTTCTTGTGTTATGATCTGATCCGATCCGAAATTAATCAGATCAGATTTTTTTTAAATCTGATCTGATCTATGGATCAGAATTTTGAAAACCGAACCGGATCTGACTCGGATCAAATCTGCGGATCCAGATCAGATCAGATTTTTTTCGGAGCACTAGCGGAAAGTAGTGGCCACTGAACGTACAATACACTTGTAAAATAATCACCAAATATGGACTGTTCCAAATGTGTGACTATAAAGAGAGTTGACTGTATATGTATTAAATTAATAATTTATATTATTTAAAAATTTTTTTATTTTTTATTAACTTTTAATTTATTATATTATAGATATTTTTGTATGCTATGCTTCATATCTCTCATGAACGATACCCTACTATTAAAAATTCAATACCAATTTTCAATTGGATTATGGATAAAATCAAAGATTTTGACAAAGAAGCAAATATTGATGAAATTGTAAAAAAAGCAGCTTGTAATGCAATGGAAAAATTAAAAAAATACTATCAATATACTGATGGAATAATATACATCATTTCTAATAGTATGCTTCAAATTTTTTATTATTTTATATATGGATTTTATATTTTTTTGCTTATATGTTTATATTAATTAATTTTTCTATTTTATATTATTATTTTTAGTTCTTGATCTTTAGTTAAAACTCACATATTATAAGGATCATAATTGGGAATCATGGAAGCATGAGATGATATTAGGAAGTTATATAATATAACATATGCACTAAGAATAAACCAAAATATTCAAGATGAAGATCTTATCACTAATGATAATCTTTTTAGTCATATATATAAAAAATGGTATACATCAAGAAATGAAAGTGAATTGGATTTATATTTGAAAAGTCCAATTGTTTCTGGTAAAGTAGATTTATTACAATGGTGGAGAGTATGCTAATTAAACAATTTTATAACCAAATTTTACAATTTAAATTTATTAAATTTATTCTAATTTCTAATTTCTAATAACAGATAAATGAATCCCAATATCTGCACTTGGCAGCAATGACACGTGATTATCTTGCGATCCCTGGTAATAATATATTGTTTAAAATTTAAACCTTTTATTGTATAAGGTTAATTTAATAATTTTAAATTTATTTTAGCAATTAGCACACCAATCGAAAAAGCTTTTTTAGGTGGTACTAATCTTATAAATCAAAAAAGATGCAGTCTCTCAACTGAAACAATCCGTGCTTGCATGTGCTTAAAATCTTGGTGGAAACCAGAATTGAAATGTAATAAATAATCTATACAAATAAATATATAAATATAAAGGAATATAAAGAAATATAAATATTAATTTTTGACATAAAATAAATAAACATAATTACATAAATAAAATGCGTGAGTTTAACCCAGATTAAACTTGACTCAGTCGAGTCGATTCAAGTTTGAGTTAAAATATTTTTAAATTCAAGTCAAGTCAAATTGGTTAATTTTATAATTTTAACCCAACTTGACTTGACATGATTTTACTGAGTTGAGTACGAGTTACCTTTTAACTCGATTCAACTTGACTCATCCAGAGCTCTAGCTCTTATTTAGCTCTACAAATCTAGCTTTACAAAACAAAATAAAGTTTGTTCAAATTGAATCACTAGAAGCCAAGATATTTGTATTTATATTATAATAATTATTATAACACAATTATCTTGACTTCTAGTGATCCAATTTTAATAAACTTTTTTTTTAATTTATAGCATCCATTTAGTTCTATAAATCTAGCTTTACAAAACAAAAAAAAGTTTGTTCAAATTGAATTACTAGAAGCCAAGATAATTATATAATACTAATTATTATATATAATATTTAATATTTAATAATAATAATTTTTTTAGCCAATTAGATTTCAATCAGATAGAGATGGGGGGCTACTAATTGAGAGAAATCAGCTGATTTCTGGCACGTCTTCCATTAGATACTTACTGAAAACATATCACAGACCTAATATGATGATCTACTAAAATTTTACAATTAAATTTTCAACAGTTATTGATGGGTAGCCGGTTATGTATCAGTTGACAGATGGACCTAAAAAATACTTTATTTGTGAACAATTACTAATAATCCCTTTAAATACTATACTACCTTCTGCCTCTTTACTTAGTTTATTCTAATGGTTATAACCATATGTACACTACTTGGAAAAAAGTAGGCGGACGTCATATTTTATTAATTACTCCAAGATGTACATAATAATTTGGGCTGAAATTTTATCACGTGATAGTTTATGGTATAAATAAATAATGATGTAATTGTTATTTCATTTATAGACAACCATCAAATGTGATCGACAAATTAGGATTTTGTACTACTTCGCATCATGTATGATTTAACGGAAGCTGAACGCAACCAGATTATTGGTCTATTTAAAGGTGGCGCCACCAGACAAAAAATTATTAAAATGCTTGGCTTGTCTAGAACAGCAGTTTACCGAACTATTCAAATCTTTTGTGAAGGAAAAAGTCTTGAAACTCAGCCACGAAGTGGTCATCCTAAACTTTTAAATTGCCAACACCAAAAAACATTAAAAAAAATTGTCAAAACAAATAATCGTCAATCAGCTGAACAAATAAAAAATAATTTTCAAGAGAAAACTGGACTACAAGTTACTACCAAGACTATAAGGAAAAATTTGCATGAACTTAATATTTTTTCACGTATTCCAGCATTCAAACCTCTTCTTAATGATAAACAAAGAGAAAATCGTTTAAACTGGTGTATTGAAAGGAAAGACTGGTCTGTTAGAAAATGGAAGTCAGTTATTTGGAGCGATGAAAGCCGCTTTACTATATTTAAAAATGATGGTCCAGGTCGTGTTTGGAGAACCCCCGGAACAAGGTTTAATGTTAAAAACATGGTTCCTTCAATAAAACACGGTGGTGGAGGTGTAATGATGTGGGGTTGTTTCTCAGGAAAGGGGTTAGGGCCGCTAATAAAAATTAATGGTAAAATGAACCATCGTGACTATATACAAATACTCGAATCACATTTACTTCCATTTATTAATAATAATTATAATGGACGAGGTTATTTATTCCAAGATGATAATGCCCCTGTCCACACCGCTAAAAATGTTAAAAAATGGATAGAAACAAAAAAGGTTAAAATTTTAGAAAATTGGCCGAGTCAGTCACCTGACTTAAATCCTATTGAGCACCTATGGTCAGAGCTGGAAAGGCGCATTAGAAAACGTCCCAATCCTGCAAAAAATGTGAGAGAATTGGAGTGTGCTTTACATGAAGAATGGAATCAAATTCCTAATAATACGTTAATTAATTTAATTGAAAGTATGCCACGCAGGGTTGAGGCGTGTATTAA